GGGGGGGTCAAGATACACTTTAAATTAGTTTTCTAGTTTTTGTTGAATGATTTCTGTTTGGAGTCACAGATTTGTCTTTATGTCACGTGTGTTTCAGTGTTTTCTCGTGTGTCGGTGATTAAAGAAGAAGATTCTCCTGAGTGGAGCTCCAGTCTGGACCAGCAGACCCCAGAGCTGCTCCACATAAAGAAGGAGGAGGAGGAGCTGTGGAGCAGTCAGGAGRAGGAGCAGGAGGGGATGGGCGTCGGCAGCTTACCCTTCACTGTTGTTACAGTGAAGAGCGAAGACGATGAAGAGGAACCTCACGTGTCTCATCTTCATCAGGTCAAAACTGAAGACTGCGGAGAGGCAGAACCTCCAACCTGCAGCTCAGCTCAGCAGATGAAAACAGAAAGTGACGGAGAGGACTGTGGAGGACCGGAACCAGATTCAAAACATTACCCTCAGCTAAAAACTGAAGAAAAGGCTTCAGCTTCCTGTGAGACTGAAGTCAGTGATGAGACGGATAATGATGATGACTGGCATGGACCCAGAGCACCTCAGTCAGGGTTAGAGGATGAAACAAACCGTCAAACACACCTGCAAGCGGACATGACAAGTGACTCAGACGGAAAACCATTTTCCTGTGATGATTGTGGCAGAAGTTTCAGCATAAAAGGAACTCTCAAACGGCACATGATGGTCCACTTCACAGAAAAACCCTTTCAATGCAACGTTTGTGATAAAAAGTTTAAACATCAGAGGAGCTTTGAAAGACATGCAGACATCCACACAAGAGAGAAGCAGTTTGTTTGTAACGTTTGTAACAAAGGATTTTCACGTCCAACAGTTCTGAGAAAACACATGGGCGTGCACACAGAAGAGAGACCGTTTGGTTGTTATGCTTGCGGTAGAAAATTTAAATCAAACGTGACACTTGAGCTTCACATYAGAGTTCACACAGGAGAGCAGCCATTTCTTTGTGATCATTGCGGCAGAAGATTCTCTCGWAAGTGTTATCTTCATAAACACATGAAAATTCACTCAGAAGAGAGGCCGTTTTCCTGTAATGACTGTGGCAAAGTTTTTACTATAAAAGCAAAGCTGAAGAAACACATGGGCGTCCACTCGACGSTAAAACGATTTCATTGCAGCAAATGTGAAAAAAGCTTCAAATACAAGAACAATCTTAAAGAACACATGCACGTCCACTCAGGAGAGAAACCGTTTGTTTGTAGTGTTTGTAGCAAAGATTTTTCACAACTAAAAGTTCTAAAGAAACACATGTGTGTTCACATAGAAGACAGACCATTTGGTTGTGATGTCTGCGGTAAAACATTCAAACATAAATGTAACCTTAAAGTACATAAACTGATTCATGCAGGACACAGACCACATCGCTGTGACGTGTGTGAGAAAGGATTTTTGACCAAAGGTCAACTGAGGGTACATCTGAAGATGCACATTCATGATTATAAYTATAAGCGGAGTTTAAAAACACTCGCAATTATTGAATCAGGAGAAAAAAACACTGCACTGCAGCAGTTGTGAAATAAAATATTTAAACACCAGATCAGTTTTGAGTAAAAAAATAAAAAAATATTTTTTGTCACACGTTAATCAATCCTAAAAGGGTGGATTATGAAGCTATTTTAACTTAAAAAAATAATAATTTTGAGAATAAAAATTTGCTAGTTGTGGGCGGTACTAGGAATCTTGGTATCGATCCGATACCGAGTAAATACAGGGTTAGTATAGTATTCTGATACAGATACTTTTCATGTTCATTGAATTATTCTGTGATTTTGCCTTTAGTTGGCTGATTATAATAAAATATAGGATAAAGATTTTAGGGAAAAAACATTTTGTATTACAACGAAATAAACCAATGTCACATTATAAAGTAATAACGCAATTCATTACCTTCTACCTGTTTAAGAACACTTGTTTAAGAAAAAAGTCACCAGTGCAAAATGGAAAAAAGAACAACTTTATTTTTCATTTTATTTCTGAAAAATAAAGCTAGTCTTGCAGATAAAGTTTAAACGAAAGAATCGATCTCATCCTGCTCGTAGCGATGTGATACCAATTTTCACCTTGGTATAAATACTTAGATGGATACGCCCACCCCTAATATTTGCATTTTGCTGCATTGAGGACCTGAGAGGAATGCTGCAGAAAATAAGTACCTGCAAACTGATTATGCTTCAAACTCTCAGTAACTCAAAGTTTGTTCATTATATTTTTGCTGTAACACAGCTCCACAGTGTTCAAATCACTTCAAGACATTTTTTTTTTATTTATACAAACCTTTCTAAAGAATTACAAACAAATAATCCTGTCATTACATGAGAGATATGGGCTGTTTTCAGTCTGGTTATTCTGCCTTTTAAAGTCCTGGCTGTCCCGTCTCTCTGAGGGTACCAGTTGAGAGAGGTCATGTTCTGGGTGGGATATGTTCGTAAAAATGCAGCAGTTTTTTTTTTTTTTTTGTGGGACCCGTACAGCCAAACCCCTGTATTCAGTAGGTCAGTCCACTTAACAAAGCATCTATAGGACATCAGCAGCTCCCCAGGTTGGACCTTGCTTTTCAGGACCCTCAGGAGTCCTTGTGCCTTTTGGATCAGTGGTGCTGGTCTGATTGTTTCAATCTAATGCCAGCAGTTTAACAATTCTCAGCAAGTCCAAACAAAAAGTGTTTACAGGCTAAATAATACTTCATCAGCTGAATTTATGGTTCTGGTGTTACTGTACATATGGGAAATAATTTTAAATAGTATTATTGTAAATATTAAGTTTAATATAATAATAATAATAATAATAATAACAATAGGAATTAATAAATTACAACCCAAGCTTTGTTTTGTTTTGTGCATGTAAATATGAAATGTTTTTTCAGAAGTGTTTTTGCAATAAACAAGATTTTTATATCTTTGTATATTTTTATACAAAATGAGTTGTATTAAAAATAATTACTGTAAACAAAGTGAAAATCAAGTAACTTACTGGTTTGTTGTTATTTAATGCCATTTTACTCTGTCAGTATTGTATACTTCTGTTTTAGGAAAGCAATTTGTAAAAAATAAAAAATTGATTCTATTGTTGGAAAAGATGAATGAAAAATGAGACAGGAATGAAAACATTAAGTTAAATAAATTGTTGCATGCTTTTTCAAAAGACCCTGTATTTCTATGAAGATGCACCCTAACTTTCCAAACTTCGTTCTGATTTTCAGCCTGTTTTTACATTTTTGTTGTTGATGAAACAAAACAAAAATAAATAAACAGATAATCTTTAATATTTGTAAATAATTTTAATCATTACATACAACTGCAAACAACTTTTAGAAGAATTATATTTTATTTTGAAAGTTTAAACCGGAAACTTTCAGTGTTAAAAACGGGAGCTTTTAACTTAGTGCTGCAATTTCACAGTTTGTCCAACAGAGGGCGCCAACACGCATTTTACAGTATACTTTTTTTTTTTCAGCGATTCGCTCGAACAGACGAAGTTAYTCACTAATATTTTGACATTTGATTAACTAAAAGTTATTATTGTTTTAATCTAAGTGACACTTAAAAAAACACAGCCCAGAAAAGCCGTTTCCGCTCAGGCAGCGTCCTTCCTGATGTGGGTGTGGACGCCGACAGATGACTGACCACACAAAAATGGAGGAAACGCAGCAGAACTCTCTCTGCCTGTCGAGATTAGTTTAATGTTGAATCGATTTTTATGGTGTTCCTGTTGTAGCTGGCATGCTGTGTCAGGATGGGAAATCTGTTCGGAAAGAAGAAACAGTCCCGAGTGACGGAACAAGATAAAGCCATTTTGGTGAGTCAGTATCTCAGCGAGCTAACGTTAGCATTATGCTAACTGTAAATAACAACCAGATTCCTCGAAGAAATCTGTCAATTCAAAAACTATTCTTGTCAGAAATCGCTCACAACAACCCGAGACAACTCAGCACAATGTTTTATCACTTTTAATGATCTTATCATTACATCGGCGTAATTCAAATTAACTTAAAATTTATGAATATAGCTTCTCTGTAAATAACTTAGTCGAAACTGAAACATGAGCTGTTGTCGATTTTTTCATACTTTGCAATCTGACATTGTTTTTGATTGTTCGTGTTTTTGTTTCTTTTTTCAGCAATTAAAGCAGCAGAGAGACAAACTGAGGCAGTATCAGAAGAAAATCGGCCTGCAGCTAGAGAAGGAGAGACTTTTGGCCAAACAGCTACTGAAAGATGGCAAGAAAGAGTGAGTTTATAAAAATATCCAGTAATATTTAGAATGTGTTTTATCCAACTGGTCCAGAAACCAGTGTGAATGACTGGTCATGTTAAAAAACATAAATAACAGCAGAGCATTAAATTAGTTTATGATCAGCTGAAACTTATCTTCCCTGTGTTTTAATTTTTTGTGAAGTGATTCAGCTTCAGTTTGGTCCTCTGAAGTCAAAAGTCACCTTATTTTCTACTTTATAAAATGTGTGTAATTTGCAAAATGTTAGACGTGTACAAAAACCCTCATGTTTTAAACAGACATTTTGTTTAAGTTTAAACATGTTAAAAAGTGACGACCCCCCCCTCGCTGCAAGTTTTACTCAAATGTTTTGTGAAATAACCTGATGTTAAAGATCTGTTATGATGTGACGATTTTAATAATAAACCTCACTTGATATGATCAGTTTTTTTGTGTGAAAAATAGACATTATTGATACTTCCTGTTAGACAATTCTCAGTGAAACTGTGAGGAACGTCTGATAACAAACGGATGGAACCGATTGTTTAAAGTTCTGTCTTTAAACGTTCTTAACGGACCTTGTTTAATCAAACAGGAAAGCACTTCTGCTGCTGAAGAAGAAGCGATACCAGGACCAGCTCCTGGACAAAACCGAGAACCAGATCAGCAATCTGGAGCGAATGGTGAGTGACGGCGAGGCAGGATGTTAGGGACCTGGAGGCAGGATGTTAGGGACCTGGTGGCAGGATGTTAGGACCTGGAGGCGGGATGTTAGGACCTGGAGGCAGGATGTTAGGGACCTGGAGGCGGGATGTTAGGGACCTGGAGGCGGGATGTTAGGGACATGGAGGCAGGATGTTAGGGACCTGGAGGCAGGATGTTAGGGACCTGGAGGCAGGATGTTGGGGACCTGGAGGCAGGATGTTGGGGACCTGGAGGCAGGATGTTGGGGACCTGGGGGCAGGATGTTGGGGACCTGGAGGCAGGATGTTGGGGACCTGGGGGCAGGATGTTGGGGACCTGGAGGCAGGATGTTGGGGACATGGGGGCAGGATGTTAGGGACCTGTGTGCAGGATGTTGGGGACCATGAGGCAGGATGTTGGGGACCTGTGTGCAGGATGTTAGGGACCTGTGTGCAGGATGTCAGGGACCTGTGTGCAGGATGTTAGGGACCTGTGTGCAGGATGTTAGGGACTTGGGGGCAGGATGTTAGGGACCTGTGTGCAGGATGTTAGGGACCTGTGTGCAGGATGTTAGGGACCTGTGTGCAGGATGTTAGGGACCTGGGGGCAGGATGTTAGGGACCTGTGTGCAGGATGTTAGGGACTTGGGGGCAGGATGTTAGGGACTTGGGGGCAGGATGTTAGGGACTTGGGGGCAGGATGTTAGGGACCTGGGGGCAGGATTTTAGGGACACTCCTGCTGCAGTTGAATCGAATCTGACTGGTTTATTTTTCATCTGGTTTCAGGTTCAGGACCTGGAGTTCGCTCAGATTGAGAGGAAAGTCATCGACGGGCTGAAAGTTGGAAACGAGTGTCTGAAGAAAATGCACGAGGTGAGTCGTGTTCCTGTGGTGTTAGAAGGTTGACCTCAGCTGCAGCCCAGAGGCATGATGGGATGTGCTTATTCTCCCAACAGGTGATGTCCATTGAAGAGGTGGAGCGGATCATGGACGAAACCCAAGATTCCATTGAGTACCAAAGGGTAAACCCTCTTCTCTCCAGAAAACATTTCCTCTCCAGGAGCCGTTTGTTTACAAACGTTTCTCTCTGCAGCAAATCGATGAGATGCTGGCTGGATCGTTGACTCAGGAGGATGAAGACGCTGTTCTGGCTGAGCTGGAGGCCATCACTTTGGTGAGTTTCAGCTAAAAATACTAACAGAAAGGTGACAAAGAGGTGAAGCTGTGCGGCTTAAATTTAATTCTGGTTCTGGTTCTGATGTGTTTCTGTCAGGGAGACGTGGAACTTCCTGAGGTTCCCTCTGAGCCGCTGCCAGAAGCTCCTGAGAAGAAACCAGGTTTGTTTTCTCATCAGGTTTCTTTATTGAAGACGAGATAAGCTGAGTCGGATCTGGACTCTGTAGAGATTTATTCTAAGATTAACAAAAGATGACTTTATATTTCAATTGAAAAGAGCCAWACTTTAAGAAAGGAAAATAATGAAACTTCTTTTTTTTCTTATGCAATGTTTCAGTTTCAGAGAAGGACCGACCCAGGAAGAAGACGGAGCGAGAGGCGCTGGCTGTGTAGAAACAGAACTGGTCCTCACAGCCGTCCACCTGCGGATGTCTCCTCGGGTCAGACGTACCGAGACATCCGGCAGCAGCTGCAGGTCCACTCGTGAAGCCAGAACCGGTTCACCGACAGCACCCTGTGAACCTCACAGACCTGCAGTGTCAGATAATTGTGCCTAACTTTGGTTGAACCGTTTAAACACGCAGACCGAATCTCCTTTTAAATCCTTGAAATTGTGCAATTTTAAGGGTCAGTTCACTCAAACAAGACCAACTTAACCTGCTTTTATTAGCTCAGATTTGTAAAAACTGACAGGAAGCTCTTTATTTAAACCAGTTTATTGACAAGTTCAGTCAGCAGGGAATCTGTAGACGCAATCTTTATTTCATAGTTTGATAACTAAAAGTGAAATATTTATTAATTCTTAACATGGTGACATGAAGAAAACACTTTAGTGTTAGTTTCACCTTTAAAAACAAATAATTTAATGTGATTTCAGATGTTTAAAATAGAACATTAGTGCTGCACTTGTGAGGAAATGTTCTCCCTATAATTTGGGTGAACTGACCCTTTAATTAATGCTCTATTAAAAACATAATCTGGTTCCTGTAAGACTTTCCTTCAGCCAAACTGAAGATCTGCAGCTGATTTGTTTCAGCGTCGTCAGAGAAAACCCCACATCAGACTCGGACTTTTAAGTTAGAAACCCGGCAGAACMTGGCTCCGCAGCCACAGAGTGTTATCAGCGCTGAGGTGAGCCGGTTTGTGGTTCTGCAGCAGGAAAGATGGCCTACATCCACAGGGTTTAAGCTCCTGCATCTCTGAAGATCAGCTGAACTAATCTGTAAATCGTTTCAAGCTCTGACGACTCAAATCCGCCGAGCCGCAGCGTCAAACTGACCCGCTCCGAGTTGCTTTAAAATTATCTGTAAATTCTTTTTACAATAAAGTTTTTTTAATCAATTTTGAGGCTCCAGATTAAAATTAATTAAAGTTGTTGTTTTTATTTTTGAGCACAAGGTGGCAGCAAATGACAAACAACTGGATTTATTTTGACATATTGAAATATTCGGGACAGTTTTATATAAAGAACCTCAAAGTGGTAATTGTGTACAAGTACAAGTATCTCTTGAAATTACTTTGGTAAAAGTTAGTCCACTTTAAGAATAGTACTTGAGTAAAAGACTTAAAGTAAGTGCATTTCTGACAGATGTACTTAAGTATTGAAAGTATTGAGTAAAAATGAGCAGTTAGATTTTCCAAAATGACATTTACTGGGATGTGACCTCCAAAAGATTTTATTTTTAGGTGTGCAGCAGTGATGGATTTTGTACAAATTAATACTGCATCAGAATGGTATATATTTATACTTCTCATCAAACTACAAATAAATTCACTGTCCTGGAGGCACAATTTATCAGAATAGTATTTTTTTTAATAATGAGTCGGAATGAAATAATTATAACGACCTTCATATTTCTTACATGTTTTAAAAAAGTAAGGAGTAGAAAGTACAGATGATTGTGTAAAAATGTAAGAAGTAGAAGTAATAGGTCAGCTGAAAAAAAGTTAAGTGAAGTCCATACAACCAAAATTTCTACTTAACTACAGTAACGAAGTATTTGTACTTTGTTACTTCACTGCTCTAACTGACATTAATTTGTACAACTTGTTCTGGGATGAGTGTTCATAAAACAAAATATAAAAATAATTCTATAAAAAAAAGGCAAGTTAAATGCAACAGTATAAAAATATCTGCTTAGAAATTAGGAGTACAAATATTTTTTCTATTATTTTTTTTAGTTCTGATCTCAGATAAAGTTCAGGTTAAAGTCTTGTTTTCTGTGTTCTACCTTCATAAAATACTAATTTTATGTTTTAATAATCCCATGAGTTTAGTAAAAATCCTATTCATAAAGATGGAAAATTTAATTTTGAGTAGATCTTTTATTTTTCTGGAGGTGCATACCTCTGGACCCCCCTAGAACTGCTTCAGTCCACATCTACTGGTTAACATGAACAGGTGTTCCTCATGATGTCAGCAGGTGTTGGCAGGTATGAGGTGGACTTCAGGTATTTTGTTTCTGTTTCAAATTAATTATATTGTTAGCTATTTTAATTGGACAACCTGGTTCTTAAAGATAAAAAAATAATATTAAAGAGTAACTTACCCCAAAATTAACTTTTTTTAGCTGATAAACTGTCTAGAATGTGTCTAAAATGTTATATAGTACTGTTTCTGTGCTA